CCTCACCACTGGACCAATAAACAACATTCTTATCAATGGAGAAAAGATTGAAGTTGTCAAGGACTTCATTCTTCTTGGATCAACTATCAACAATCATGGAAGAAGCAGTCAAGAAATCAAATGACGTATTGCATTAGGCAAATCTGCCACACAAGACCTTTTTGAAGTGTTGAAGAACAAAGATGTCAGCTTGAAGACTAAGGTGTGTCTGACCCAAGCCATGGTATTTTCACATATGCATGTGAAAGCTGGACAGTGAATAAGGAAGACAGTAGAAGAATTGATGCTTTTGAGTTATGGTGTTGGAGGAGAATATTGAAAGTGCCACGGGCTGCCAAAAGACCAACAGATCTATATTAGAAGAAGTACAGCCAGAGTGCTCCTTGGAGGCCAGGATGGCCAAACTTCATCTTTCATAATTTGGACATATCATTAGGAGAGACCAGTCCCTGGAGAAGGATGTCATGTTTGGTAAGGTGGACGGTCAGAGAAAAAGAGGAACCCCCCCCAGCAATATGGATTGGCCAAGTGGCAGCATCAGTGGGCTCAAGCCTGGCAACGATAGTGAAGTTGGCCTAGGAGCAGACAGTGTTTCGTTCTACTGTGAGTCAGTACCAACTCGATGGCACCTAACAACAACAACATAGTCACTATTCCCCTCAAGCATTCCAATCCTCAATAACTTAAACCTTTCCTTATTTTATTTGGCAAGGGATTGCCCCAATTGTTGTTGTTGTTAAGTGCCACCAAGCCATTACTGACTCAAAGCGACTTTATGCACAACACAACAACAAAACACTGCCTGGTCCTCCACCATCCTCATCATCTTCAAATGGGCACATTTGAAGCCCACTGTCGCTGCCACTGTGTCAATCCATGTACAGTTTCTTATTGTTTCACTGGTGAATGCATTACAGTTGTTGTTGTTGTTAAGTGCTGCTGAGTCAATTCTAACCCAGAGCAACCCTGTATAGGGTTTCCAAAGAGTGGCTGGTAAGCTTGAAAAACTGACCTTCTGGTTCAAATGACTTTGCAGTCCAGCACATAAGCCCACAGCCCCACACCAGGACTCCGCATTACCACTAGTGGCTAAGTATTCAACATTGAAGTCCCTGGAGCAGATAGAGCACTTCTCATGAGTCCCGATCAAACCAGAGTCAAGGAGAACCACCATTTATTTCCCAGTTTGGGGTATTAAGGTTCTATGTACATAGGCAGGAATTTCACTATGCCGTAACACTGCTAACTTAAGTTTACAAAAGTTCCCAAATTTTTACTACCATTCATCCATCCTGCTCTTTCATAATTGGCTTTCTGGACCCAGATAAGCACCTTGCACTATCCTACAGCTCTCTTTGGTGTTTTCCTTCCCTCTCTCTTCACCAGGCCCCAGACAATGGATCCCAGGAATGGCAGCACAGTGACCGACTTTATCCTTGTGGGCTTTGAACAGAGCTCCCCTTCCACTCGGGCATTCCTCTTTGCTCTCTTCCTAGCCTTGTACAGCCTCGCCATGGCCATGAATGGCCTCATCATCTTCATCACCTGGACAGACCCCAGGCTCAACAGTCCCATGTACTTCTTCCTTGGCCATCTGTCCTTCCTAGATGTCTGTTTCATCACCACCACCATCCCACAGATGCTGATCCATCTATTAGTCAAGAACCATACTGTTTCCTTGGCCTCTTGCATGGCCCAGATGTACCTAGTCTTCTGTATGGGTGTGGCTGAGTGCATCCTCTTAGCCTTCATGGCCTATGACCGCTATGTTGCCATCTGCCACCCACTTAGTTATGCCCAAATCATGAGTCAACAGGTCTGCTTGAGGTTGGTGGGTACTGCCTGGTTCTTTGGGCTGATCAATGGCATCTTTCTTGAATATACATCATTCCGGAATCCCTTCTGTAAAGACAACCATATAGAAAACTTCTTCTGTGAGGCCCCCATAGTCATCGCTCTCTCCTGTGGGGACCTCCTCTTCAGCATGAAGATATTCTTTGCTGATGCCATTGTGGTGCTGCTCAGCCCCATGGTGCTCATTGTCATCTCCTATGCCCGAATCCTGGCCTCCATCCTCAGTAGAGCCTCCTCCTCTGGTCGAGGGAAGACTTTCTCCACTTGTGCCTCCCACCTGACTGTGGTCATCTTCCTCTATACCTCAGCCATGTTCTCTTACATGAACCCCCGCAGCACACATGGGCCTGACAAGGACAAGCCTTTCTCTCTCCTGTACACCATCATCACCCCCATGTGCAACCCCATTATCTACAGTATTCGCAACAAGGAAATGAAGGGGGCCATGGTGAGAGCTCTGGGGAGGACCAGCCTGGCCCAAGCAGAGCCTGCCTAGCAGGAAGGGTCCTGGAAGGCAAGTTACTTCCCTAAGGTATGGCCAGCCCTGGCTGGTGAATAACTCTCCAGTTCTGAAAGGCTGTAGACAAGAGGATTCATGGCTTCCTTTGTCCCAAAATCAAACCTGCAAGTGTCTTTTGATTCATAATGCTCATTGTTCTCATTTTACTGCAAGCATTTTTTTTCATGGATTTTCCTCATGAAAAATTGAAACTTCCTGAGGTTTATTTGCTGTTGTTTTTTTCGTCTCCTCACAGTAAGATTTGATGACTTTGTAACTGCACTTAACTCCATTACATTTTATTTGTACAATGCTTTTACCCAGCCTGAACTTTCCACATACATTTAGAAGTAAAACATTTTTTTTCTCTTTCAATTTGCCATTTTAGTCTGTTATTCCTGTTGTTGTTGTTAGGTGCCATCAAGTTGGTACCAACTTACAGCAACCTTATGCACAGCAGAACGAAACACTGCCCAATCCTGGGCCAACCTCACTACTATTGCCACACTTGAGTCCATCGATGCTGCCACTTGGCCAATCCATCTCGCTAGGGGTCTTCCTCTTTTTCTCTGACCCTCCACCCTTATCAAACATGATATCCTTCTCCAGCAACTGCTCCCTC